CACATTTGCTGCCCTAAGCGCTCTCCAAAGAATTAGGAAGTTCTGAGCCAGCTCGGTATTTGCTTGTTGTCTGATGTCCTTAACCCAAGTGTCATTTGCTTTTTTTTTTAGAAAAGGAGGATGACCCCGGCCTCTGCATCTAGGAGATGCATACGGTCACTTTATTGATTATTTTCGAGGACCTTACAAAGTATTACAACAATGTGCCTGGATCCACCGTCTTGGTAACACATACCGCTACTCCTATCCAAAATGATGAAGGGGTGCTAGCTGGGCCACTACCCAAACCACTCACCTAAGCCTAATATCAAAAGCTGGAAGGCGAAACATATTCGGAAGCCCCAACCGAGCCACTTACCGGGTCCGGGGCACAATCCGGTCAGACGCACTCGCGTGTCGTCGCCGCCATCTTCCACAGGTCCATCTTCAGATCATATTGAGGCTTCTATCTTGTCTGGCTACTCAGCCATCGACGCCCCCATGATGCCAGACAACATCCTCCTCCTGCACGAATCCATCTCCGCGCATCAGGCACCGAGTCTCCACAACACCATGCCGTCGAGATCTGCCACCATCAATGTGTAAGATGAAGCACTGCTCCACCAAAGTCGCCGTCCTCTAATCCCTCGAGTCCGTGTGCTCCTCCAAGATGACGCCCCCAGGGGGGAAACGACACCAGAGAGCCGCCGTCATCCGATCTACTGATCTAGGGTTTCCCCCAGAGGTAGCAGAGAGTGGCCTTGAACATCTCCACGGCGATGCCTTCAGGAAGGGAACGACGCAGACAACGTCGCCATCGCCAGCCTTGACAATAGCCAATAACAGGTTTTCATCCAGATCTGATCGAAGACCTCAATCTCTCGTGCACGGGTCGCGGCCGTCCTTGCCGGGATCTGGATGATCCCGCTTGCCAGATCTCAGCACGGAGAAGCCCCCCCTCCCCCCACCGAGACCCGCCGGCCGAGCAGGGGAGGCCGAGGCCGCGCCCATAGGATCAGATCCGCGATGGATCCAAGCCCACGCTGCCGCCCCGGAGTCTGCCCCGCGCGCAGCCGCCAGCGCCTGCCGAGGCTCGCCGCCGCGTGCCCCGCGCCCCGCCACCGCTCGCCGAGGCCTGCCGCCGCAGGACACCGCCGCCTGCCGCCTAGATCCGCCGCCCGCGGAAGAAGGGGAGTCGGGAGAGGGAATCCCCCCGCCGCCGCCGTCTGCTACGCGGGTTTCACCCGGCGGCATCATCCGGCGGCGGCGCGAGGAGGGGAGAAGGAGGGGGCGGCGGCTGTGCCTAGGGTTGGAGGCCCCCGAGTCGCCCAGGGCGGGGGCGACGCGAGGGACGCGATACTGAGCTGTTCGTCTAGTTAGCTGGTTCTCTCTGTTTCTTACTAGTATATATAAACCAGGACTTGTATATGTCTTTTGAATCAGATAGGTTACAATAGAGTCATTTGCTAGAGCATTAGCCACACATATGTGTTTTCCCCTGGATCTCATTTACATATCTGGGGACAGAGTCGCCAGGCAAGGGGAGGTAAACCATGAGGAACGCGAGAATGAAGCGATCTGAGCATTGCCAATGGTCACTGTTGTTGCTCTGTCAAAGAATTCCCTGTCTCCAGCGTCACAAGGAAGTTCAGAACCTTTCCATGGGCGATCATCATTTTGCCAGGACAGCCACAACCATCTCAGGCGCAGGGCCCTGGAGAACTTGTTGAGATCAAGCACTCCCAGACCCCCACGATCAGATGGTGTGCACACCGTTTTCCATCCCACCTTGCAGTGTCCGCTGTTGAGCTGCTCATCTTGTCGAATTTTAAGATTCTAGATGCATGGTACCATGGGCTTTTGCTCTCGCGATTCAGACCTTAGGGAGATGAAAGAGAAAAGACCGGCCTTGCCAGAAAGATTCAAGATGAATTAGAAACAGTATCTACAAAAATACGTTCATAGAAATGAATGAAATCTTGTGAACATATGAAATGTGGTTTTCGAAAGCGTCCAAGTCCGTAGTAGAAATGTTGACGGATGAGTCATGAGGTCGTCGTGTGACTGTCAACCGAATCACAAGCTGCACAGTTGTTGGCAGGAGGAAAGGAGGTTCTACTTAAATCAGTTACACAGGCAATCCCATCATATGCTATAGGTGTCTTCAAAATTCGTAAACAAACATGCAAATGAATAACTGAGCAATGTCGCATTACTGTAGGGTGGCAGTGATGACCAGAAAAAGATCATTGGATGACTTGGTGGAAGTTGTGTATGCCGAAACATCAAGGAGGTATGGGGTTCCATGACATCCATTGCTTTAACCTTGCTTTGTTGGCTAATGATTTTTTATTTCATCATGGCATTTTAACTTTAATACCAAGGAAAAATTCACTATTCATCTTTCATGGGAATTTATGCTTTTGATGTGTCCATGGTACATTTCATTTATGAAACACAACAATTACTACCAAATAATATATGCTACACTTTTTATGTTCTACATGATGGAAGTTTTTAATCCACATATATTTTTATATCTTCGTGTATATAGTAAAATATCTACAAAAATTAATGCACGTTTTTCACCAGTACGTACATATGAATGTCCATGAATTGCTTTTTGCGCCATTGAAAAAATAATCTTGAACCATGGCAAAATTTTCTTTTAAAGATTATCGCAATCCTTTTTTTCATGGTCTACTGGCTTTTTTGTTATTGGACGATGAGAATTTTAACTAAAACAAGCCATGGTTCATTCTTCTTACGTCAATTTTATTTCCTTTATCTTTACGCCAAGGTATTTTTGTTCATACAATGGCAAAAGATTGGGCTTTTTATAGTCACCGCAAAAAAGGGCGTTATCAACCAACGCAAAAAACCTGGTTTTATTCTGTCACAGAAAAAACTGGGTTTTAATTTTATTTTATTTTCATAGTGAAAAGACATGTAGGTCAGCAAGGGGAGGATGCTAGGGCTTGGGTGTTCTCTAGTCGAAATTATTCGTTTGATCGATCTACCCCTAGTAGCGAACGAAACATTGGATCCTATAAACATGCTAGACTTACGTGCAGATTCTTACTATTTGAGTTATAATCTGACTTCTCTTGTTTTTGCTTGTCTAATTTGATAATTCGACCCATCCTAATTAACTACCCTTCCCCATGAATTCAGCGGGATGCCTTGATGGCCACCACGTAATTTTGTTTAACTTGCCTGTGAATATAGCATTGCTCCTCACAGGCAGCACCACGCAACACAAAACAGACATACTGCTACATACTCCCTCCGTTTCAAAATAGATGACTCAACTTTATATTAACTTTAGCACAAAGTTAGTATAAAGTTGAGTCATCTATTTTGGAATGGAGGAAGTATGAGAGTGAGGTAGATGTTTGACCTGGTCTTCGCCAACGAGCTCATGCAGGCAGGACTTGAGGATGGTGATGTGGCCACCGCCACTGCGCGGGTTGACAAACCAGGGGTTCATGGAACCAGCCCCTGGGGCTTCCAGCAATGCATAGGCACCTTCTAATGGATTCGTTACCTTCAGCGAAGCGTGCAGAGCATCGCGGAGGCATTCTAGCAGCATGACCTAGACGCGGAGGTCCACCTTGTCGAACGTAGAGGATGCAACGCGGCTGAATCTGCAGCTCCGGAACAAGGGCGACTCAATTAGAGCACCATGCAACGGCGGCGGCACAGCCGCCAGTGAGCACGATGATCACGGTGCCTCCCTCTCCGCCAGCAACGGGGACGCCGACAATGATACGGTCATCTCTGAGCACGACCATGACCTGATCAGGGGTTAGGATCCAGGAAATGTGTTTTCCGGTGGTGGGAGAGGACGAGGAGCTAGCTGCACTGCTCCTCAACCGGCAAGGCAAGTTAGTAAATACTAGCTAATGACCAATAGCTAAATATAGCATGGCTCCTCACAAGCAGCACCGTGCAACAAAAAATAGACATATTGCTACATACTACTCCCTCCGTTCCTAAATATTTGTCTTTCTAGAAATTTCAATAAGTGACTACATACGGAGCAAAATGAGTGAATCTTACACTCTAAATATGTCTATATACATCCGTATGTGGTAGTCCATTTGAAATCTCTAAAAAGACAAATATTTAGGAACGGAGGGAGTATGAGGGAGGGACATAGGTTTCACCTGGTCTTTGCCAATGAGCTCCTGTAGGCGGGACTTGAGGACGGGGTTGAGGCGGCTGCCGTTGTGCGGGTTGGCGAACGTGACGATGGTCTTCTCGGGGGCTACGTCGGGCGCGAGTGCAAACCTGGGGTTGGTCGTGATGCTTGCCCCGGGGCTTCCTCCAACACGAAGACCGCCGGTGATGACCCGCTCGCCGCGCTCATCACCGGCGGTCGTGCCGCCACCGCTAGTTGGTGCTCTGATTGAGTCCCTCTCGTTCGGGAGCTGCCTTTTCCATCACGTGGCATCCTTGGTGTTCGAGAAGGAGGACCTCCATCCTCGGGTCACACTGTCACATTACCCTTGCGTCGTTCTGCACATTGCGCTGATGGTAAGGGACCTATCGGCAGGCGCCTTCGCGCTGGAGGAAGCCATGGGAGGGGGCGCTTGACGAACCCCTTGTCCTCCCTTGCTCCCAACGACACCCCCGAGAATCCCCTCATCGCGTTCATCAACCCGCGCAGCCGCGGTCGCCTCCGCCCCATCCTCATGTCTCACCTTAGCTCATTTGCGAAGACAAGATCAAACCTCTGGCCCTCTCTCATATGTAGTAGTATGTTGTTTCGTATTGTGTGGTGCTGCATGTGAGGAGCAATGCTATATTTAGGTATTTCTATTTATATATTTCCTAAGCTGCCTTTCCTATTGATGAGCGGTGCAGCTAGCCCCTTCTCCTCGTCCTTCCTTCCCACCGCAAAAAGAACTACCATATAAAACTATTGCTTCTCCAACCTCATCCGTTCAAACCGACCCATTGTTTGCTCTCCTCCACCACTGCAAAACACAATTGCTGGATGCTAACCCCCTACCGCAATGCGATCAAGGTCTCGATCGTGCTCGGACTTGTCCATATCATTGTCAGCATCGCCGTCAACATCGGAGCGGGAGGCGCCGAGCTTGCCGCGTTCACCGCCGGCGGCAGGGCAACCGCCGCTTGTTGGTGCTCTGCTTGAGTCTCTCTCGTTTCGGAGTTGCGGATTCGGGCGTGCCTCGTCCTCGGTGTTTGAGAGGCAGGATCTCCGCCTCCGAGTCGCGCTACCGCAACGCCTCCGCGACGCTCTACATGCTGCACTGAAGGCGAGGGACCCATCGGCAGGCGCCTTCGCATTGAAGGAAGCCCCGGGGATCGGCGACGTGACCAACCCCTGGCTGTCCCTCGCTCCCGAAGACGCCCCCGAGAACCCCCTAGTTGCATTCGTCAACCCACGCAGTGGCGGTCGCCTCGGCCCCGTCCTCAAGTCCCGCCTCCAACAGCTCATTGGCGAAGACCAGGTCAAATCTCTGGCCCTCTCTCATATGCAGTAGTATGTCTTTTTGGCATTGTGTGGTCCTACATGTGAGTACCAACGTTATATTTAGCTATGGCTCCTTAGCTATTTTCTATGGTGCCTTGCCCGTTGAGGAGCGGTGCAGCAAGTACCTTCTCCATGTTCTTCCTTCCCACCGCAGGAAAAAACAACCATACAAAACTCCGCCTCCTCCACCCTCCTTCGTTCAAACTGCCACATCACGTACTCCCCCCCCCAATGAAATACACATTTCCTTGATCCTAACCTCCGACCGAAGTCCATATCATTGTCGGCACCACCATTGCTGGTGGAGCGGGAGGTGCTATGCTCGCCGCGCTCAACACCGGCAGCCATGCATCCATCATTGGATGGGGCTCTTATTGAGTCACTCTTGTTTCGAAGATTCGGCCGTGCCGAATCCTAGAATTTTGAGAATGAGGACTGCTGCCTTTGGGTTGCGCTGCCACAACGACTCTGTGCGCCATGCGCAATGCACTGAAGGCGAGGGATCTATCAGCAGGCGCCTTCGCATTGGAGAAAGCCCCAGGGCCGGTGCAGTGACCAACCCCTGATTCACCCTTGCACAGAATGAAGCTCCTGAGAACCCCCTCGCCACGTTCACATCAACTCGCACAATGGCGGTCGCCCCGGCCCGCTCCTCAAGTCCCGCCTCCAAGAGCTCATTGTCGAAGACCGAGTAAAACGTCTACCTTTCTTTCATATGTAGCAGTATGTCTGCTTCATGTTGCATGATGCTGCGTGTGAGGAGCAATGCTATATTTAGCTATTTTCTAATTTGTGTTGCCCGTTGAGGAGTGGTGCAACCGGCATCTTCTCCTTGGACTTCCTTCCCACCGTGGGAAAAACCAACCATACAAAACTCAGCTTCCTCCACCCTCCTCCGCTCAAGCTGCCACATCACTTGTTCTCCTCCCATCATTGGAAAACGCATTCCCTGAATTCTAAGACCTGATCGAGACATGGCTGAGGTCGCGGTCATGCTCGGAGGTGTCAATATCACTGTCGGCATCGCCATCACCGACGGAGCGAGAGGCACCGTGCTTGCCGCTCTCACCTCTGTGGACGTGCTGCTGCCGCTAGTTGGGGCTCTGATTAGGTCTTGTGTTCTAGGGTGCCGGACTCGGCCTTGTCGCGTCCTCGGTGTTCGAGAAGGATGACCTCCTCCTCTGAGTCGCACTACATCAGCAACTCCGTGATGCTCAACATGATGGTGACTGACTCGTCAACACTCGCCTTCACGTTGGAGGAGGACCCAGGGTCCATCACCACGACCAAACCCTGGTTCACCATTGTGCCCGATGATGCTATAGAGAAACCCCTTGTCAAGTTCGTCAACCTGGATAGCGGTAGTCACACTGCCCATCCCCAAGTCCTGCCTCCAGGAGCTCATTGGCGAAGACTAGGTCAAGCCTCTGTCCCTCTATCATATGTAGTAGTATGTATGTTTCGTGTTGCATGACGCTGCTTGTGAGGAGCAATGCTATATTTAGCTATTGCTCTTTATCTTTTTCATAAGTTGCTTTGCCATTGAGGAGCAGTGCAACCAACTCCTTTTCTTCGTCATTCCTTCCCACCGCAAGAAAAGAAGGACCATAGAAAACTCCACCTCCTCCACACTCCTCCGTTCAAACTGTCACATTGCTTGTTCTCCTCCCACCATCAGAAAACACATTTCCTTCATCGCGACCCACGATCAGGATGCCATCACGGTCTCAGTCATGCTCCGGGATGTCAATATTGTTGTTGGCATCACCTTCACCGGCGGAGAGGGAGGCACTACGCTCGCTGTGCTTACCATTAGCGGCCGCGCCACCGCTGGTCAACGCTGTGATTAAGTCACTCGCATTCCGGAGCAGCGGATTCGTCCGCGCTATGTCCTTGTTGGCATTTGAGAAGGAGGACTTTCACATCTGGGTTGCGTTGCCGCAGCCCCTCCATGATGCTTTGCACGCTGCGTTCAAGGTGAGGGGCCCGTTGGCAGGCACCTTTGCCTTGGAGAAAGCCCCGCGGGCCAATGTCGCGACCAACCCCAGGTTTTCCCTCACACCCGCGACGCCTCCTCGACCCCCCTGGTTGTGTTCGTCAATCCATGGTGCGGCGGTCGCCTCTGCCCCCTCCTCGACTCCTACCTCTAGGAGCTCATTGGTGAATACTAGGTCAAACCTCCGATCCTCTCTTATATGTAGCAGGATGTTTGTTTCGTGTTGCATGCCATTGCCTGTGAGGAGAAATGCTATATTTAGCTATTGCTCTTTATCTATTACCTTAGATACCTTGCGCATTGAGGAGGGTTGCAACCAGCTCCTTCTCGTCGTCCTTCGTTCCCTTGTGGGAAAAATGACCATACAAACTCTGGCTCCTCCACCCTCCTCCATTTAAATTGCCACAGTGCTTGTTCACCTACCACCACCGGAGGCATTATTTCGTGGATCGTAACCCCCAATCACAATGCGGTCACTGTCATCCATATCATTTTTGGCATCATCATCGTTAGTGGAACGGGAGGCACTACGCTCGCCGTTCTTAGTGTCGGCGGTCGCGCCACCACCACCCGTTGGGGCTCTGGTTGAGTTGCTCTCATACTTCATCCTCAATGTTTGATAAGGAGGACCTCCACCTCATGGTCAGTGCTTCAGTGCCTCCGCGATGCTCTACATGTCGCGCTGATGGCGATGGACTTGTCAGTACAGGCTTTCTCATTCGAGGAAGCCCCGGGTGCCGGTTCTGCCACCAACCCCTAGTTCTTCATCGCGCATGATGATGCCCCACAGAACCCCCCCTCATCGTGTTTGTTAAACTGCACAGAAGTGGTTGGCTCTGCCTCATCCTCAAGTCCCATCTTGAGGGTCTCATTGGCGAAGACCAGGTTAAACCTCTGTCCCTCTCTCATATGTAGCAATATGTCGGTTTCGTGTTGCGAGGTGCTACCTATGAGGAGCAATGCCATATTTATCTATTGCACTTTATCTATTTCCAAAGTTACCTTTCCCATTGAGGAGCGGCGCAAGTAGCTCATTCTCCTCATCCTTCCTTCCCACCGCGGGAAAATAACCATACAAAAGTCTGCCTCCTGCATGAAAACCGCGGGATAGCTTGTTCTCCTCCCACCACCAGGAAACTCATTTACTCGATCCTAACCCCGATCACAATGCGATCAAAGTTTCACTTGTGTCTCAGAGATCTCCATATTGCTGTCCGCATCACCATCATGGTCGCCAATGGAGCGGGAGGGATTGCGATCACCTCGCTCTATGTCTGTGCTCGTGCTGCCGCCGCTGGTTGGTGCTCTGATTGAGTCACTCTCGTTCTAGAGCTCTGGACTCAGCTATGCCGCATCCTCGGTATTCGAGAAGGAGGACCTTTGCCTCTAGGCCACGCTGCCATAGCGCCTCCACGATGTTGTGCATGTTGCACTAAAGGTGAGGGACCCGTTGGCAGGTGCCTTCGCGCTAGAGCAAGCTCCGGGGGACGGTGTCGCGACCAACCCCTGGTTCGCCCTCACACTTGACGATGCCCCAAGAACCCCCTTGTCTCCTTTGCCAACCTTCATAGCGGTGATCACCTCAGCCCCTTCCTCAACTCCCGCCTCCAGGAGCTCATTGGTGCTACTTATGTGCTGTGTTGGGACTTTCCCCGAAGAGGAAGAGTGAAGCAATATAGTAGCTAATAAGTATTTCCCTCAGTGAGAATCAAGGTTAACGAACCAGTAGGAGAATCACACAAAGCCTAGTGAACATTACCTGCACACACAAGAGCAAATACTTGCACCCAACTCAGCCAAGAAGGTTGGCAATCCCCTTGAACTCGTTGCTTGCAAGGATTAAATCTAGTAGTGGTAGTATATAAATTGCAAAGGAAAATAACAATAAACAAATTGCATCAAGGTATTTTTGGTTTTCGTAATATGATAAAAGTACACTCGGGGCAATTGTTTTCACTAGAGGCTTCTCTCACGAAACATAGCATACAGTGGGCAAACAAATTACTGTAGGGCAATTGATAGAAAAACGCATAGTTATGATGTTATTCATGGCAATGATCTCATCTATAGGCATCATGTCTGTGACCAGTAGACGAACTCCTGCCTACATCTACTACTATTTCTTCACTTCGAGAGCGCCTCTATGCTTGCCTCTCTTGTATTAAGTTCATAACAAACAGAGTAATGCATGAAGTATGATGACATGACGTATACAAAATAATACCAAGCAATATGATTAAACCCCATCATTTTACCCTTAATGAAAACAATATGAATATGTGCCTCGTTACCCCTTCTTTCACGAGGTGAGGGCACCACAAGATTGAACCCATCAAAAAGCACCACTCCCACTGAAGATAAATCAATCTAGTTGGCCAAACTAAACCGATAGATCGAAGAGAAATACAAAGCTATAATGATAATGCATAATAAAGTTCAGTAAAGACTTAATTACTTTTAGTGAGTATCTGATCATAAACCCTTCATCGGATCCCAACGAACACACCACAACAGAAGATCACATCGGATAGATATCCATGGAGGTCATGGAGAATATGGTATTGAAGATCAAAGAGAAAGAAGAAGTCATCTAGCTACTAGCTATGGACTCGTATGTCCGTGGTAAACTACTCACACATCATCGGAAGGCAGCAAGGTCGATGTAGAAGTCCTCCGTAATCGATTCCCCCTCCGGCAGAGTGCCGGAAAAGGCCTCCAGATGAGATCACGAAAGAACGGAGACTTGCAGCAGAGAAAAAATTGTTTTTGGTGGCTCTCAAGGGGTTACCCACCATTTGAGAATTTATGAAAGTGAAATTAGATCAGACGGAGCCACGTGGGGCCCACAAGGAATCAGGGCAGGCCTACCCCCCAGGGCGCACCTTGGTGCCATGTTGTCTCCTCATCTGTCGTCTGGTCTCCTCCCGAAGCTTCCAGGGTAACTTATGTGTAGAAAAAAACCATCAAAATGTTTCGTAGCG